GCAGAAAGAAGTTATCAGCTAAGCTGATCTGTCCCTGAACTTACTCAGACTTTTTTTTTTTAAAGAAAGATGCTACTCCACGTTTCATAACGCAGAACCTCCTGTGCAGAAAACAGACAGAGAAGTGGCAGAATAATCAAAAGTGGCATCAGTTTTTGGAACAGTACTACCCTGGGCCAGTTTTAAGCCAATAGCCCCTTTAGCTAAAAATCCTGAGTTATTCAGACTAATTCTACAGAATATTAGGTATTATCAGGCCATGGTTTCTACAAACTACAAAAGACACTTGATAGCTGAAGACACAATAAAACTCCAAAATACATGCAGTAGAATTCCAAGAGGAAACTACTTTCAGTCATTTCAGTGACATTCTAAACCATACCGACAGGCAGTGAATTCCTGATTTCACTTGAAAACTTATCACTCCATCACTTTCAGCTCAAGCATTCAGGATAATTGTCAGTCTGGGTAATGCAAGCAGAAGTTCAGGAATTTCTAAACTATGCCTTATGCCTCTACAACTACCCCTCTTTACTTCTGACAACCTCCACACTCTAGATGAGAAAGCAGATAAGCACACCAATTAAAATAAAAAATCCCTTTCAGTTCAAGACAAAGCAATAAATCATCAACTCTCTCTCTCACCTCACTGCAACAGCCATACAGTCCAACAACATTCTCGAAGAAAAATCCTACTGTGTCTATATACTAAGCCCCATTTGAGTATTTTTTTCATTTTAGGCTTAAAAATAATGTGCAAAGACATCAAAAGGAAAAGAGACGCAAGTCTGTCATGAGAAATCATCACAGTATACACAACATCTCCCATAGAACCGTGCACTGTCAGCTGGATGTCCTATGAAGGAGAAAAGGGAGGACACTGCAGGCAGATTGCCCAAAGCACAAGGTGCAGATCACTGCTAGAAACTGCTTCCTTAACCAGGATCTGGTCAAAGAACACTGGATGAGAAACAGCAAATTGCACAGCTGCTAGAGCTATCTACTACATTTTCTACCAGAGTCATAAGCTGATTTGCTGCAGGTACAGTTTAATACACTATAAAAACCAAGCAAAATGCAGGTTACAAAATGGCATCTCAGTTTTCTGTACAAAAAGAATGCTGCAGCAGCAACTTCAGCCCACCAAATCAGTGTTTGGCAACAGTTACAAAGACAAGGAGCACTGGATGTACCAGAATGTACAAGTTGCTGCCCTCAGCATCCCCTTTTCTTCCTCTCTTAATACACCTATAGCTGACATTATGCCTTCCTAAACATTCTATGATTTCTCACAATAACATTGTTTATTCTTTTCCCCGACGCT